TTTTAGAAAATCCGGAAGGCTTTTTCGGGTTTTGGATTTTGTTTGTTGCCTGGAAAATCAATAAAGGCTTAATTAAAAAATCGGCGCCGGTCAGTCGATGTAGTTAGGTGGCTAGTTTAAAATAAAACAAACCCGAACTCTCCAGCTTGAAGTATATTAAAAAATCTTGAGATGCACTTCAGGGTCCTTTTTGGACCTTGATCTCTGGAAAACTCGTAAACCTAAGACTTGGAGACAAAAAAAATTTTTTATTCCCGTAACTTACTGTGCCGAACATTTATGGAAAGTTTTGTCAAGATCGGATGTACGGTGTCGGAGATAATTTCCGAGGGGGGTGGGCCCTTAAGTAGATTCCTCATTCAATTCTCTACACAAAACTTATTGAGCATTTTTTCATATACTATAAGAATAAAAGATATAAAGGAAATATGGAAAAGCTTCGATGTTGATTACTTTCAAGCCCAAAGGTAGGTTTTTCAGTTTCAACCCCTTATATTTTGCGATATAAAAAAATGGTCGTATAAGAAATGGCCGTTTGTAGTTCTCGAAAAGCCCTATGAGCTGGTTATATTTAAGACTCTTCACAGGCTCAAGCGGTCTCAGAAGGGTTTCTTTTGTTTTAGCGATTTTGCCCGAAATCATCATTTTCTAACTGCAGTTTTGAGGGACTTAAGAAAATTTGTATGATTCGTTCAAAACCACACACATTATGACGTCGGGTCTGATATATCTTAAAACAAAATAATTTTTCTGTCATATTCCCACAGAGAAAGTCGAATAACCCCATTCATTTTCTGTGCCAAGGCCGAGAAATCAAATTTTCCCTTTTTTTTTGCTTTTAGCGGAACCTTCGGTGCAGAAAAAAAGGTTTGTAGTCAATTTATGATACAAGACAAGAAAGGTGGCATTCACAATGTTCACATGTTTTGTGTAGAGAATTGAATGTGAAATCTTTTTAAAAAAAGGTTGAGGCTTGATGATTAACTATGACCGAGATATTGAGAAAATACGGAGAGGGACATTATTTCTGGCGCACCCGTTAGTATCTCGTGAAAAAAGATTATTTTTAAGAGAAAACATAGATTGTCATGTAGGAACCCAAAGGACTTTTTCTTTATAGCATTTATCGTATATCGTCGATTTCTTCTTTGATGTATTTGCCATAGTTTTATCCAAAAGTAGGTATCTTAACACTAGAGTGCCAGTTAGACAATTCACTCGTTGTGAGACACATTTACAATTATCGGCCGCGTCCGATAAAGGACACTTGAGGTACGAGTCCTGTCCGACCCGACCAGTGTTAAAAATTTATGATCCAGCCCAAGAACAAAAAGTTGGGGTTCGGAGTACGGAGTTTTTCCGTTGTTTACCGTCCCCTGCATCTTTAACCAATAGGCTTGGTTGACAAAATGCTATAAATGTACTTCTAATGTAATTTTATCATTTAAATTTCCATCGTTTTTCTCCCACCTTTGTATGCACTAGATAATCTATTTATTCAGCTACATATTAGAAGAAGAGATATTATAATATTCATCACGAACATGTTTATACTAAATATAATGGTTTTATTGCTGTATTTAACCATACACTCTCAGAAAAGAAAGAGAAATCCTCGGCTGGGTGCAACCGGTCTTAAAAGCTGTCTGACCCAGTCGTCTCGGGCTAAAAGCCTGGCATGTGCCGACCTCTGCTGTGTACGTATCGCATTTCCTCCTGTACTGAGACGGCTATTATTCGGGCACGCTTTACAGCATAAGCCAAATTGTGTGAAAATACTTTGAATCGCCACGTACCGATTTTTAATACAATAAATTTCTCTTATTATAAAACCCTTATTGTCAGAATAGCACCCACCTTGAGAAAACAATATTGACTACGTATGAAATCTCTTAAGGAAGTCATTTTATTCCACTCACTAGACTTCTTTTTCATTTCGTAATGTGTTTGATAATATTTAGATCAACATTACCATATTTATGGTAAAAATTAGGAAGTTTGAGTTCGTTAAACTAGAATAAAAACTATAGGAACTATTCGAGGTTTAGGAAATATTGTAGTATAGGAATTCTGCTATTACAGGTATTTCCATGTCCTACTGGTAAAGTTTTATTATTACTTTATTTTTTCAATTGCTTCAAGAAGTGGCTTAAAAAATAGTTTAGGACATCACTAACGCACAATGCACTAGCTACAGTCAAGACACATGGTCCCACATCAGCCACGGACAAATCACGTTCAAGACAACACAAATGTGTCGAGCTGTTGTTAGACATAGAATTATCCTTGTATCTAGTCAAGACTAGGTATGCATCGATTTCGATTATTGACCAAAACCCAAATAACGATCATAGGTTATAACCGAATAAACTTTATAATGTGCTCGGTTTTCTTTGTTACTGTTCAAGGTTTCAAAATTTGGATAAACTGAAATCAAAATTGCTGATTTTTCGCGCAGGTGTGAATATGACTCTAGATAGCATTACTTACAATATTTCTATTATCTGATTCAAAAAGTAAGATACCCAGCGCCTCTTTAAATACCTCGGTGACGCGAAGAGATATCGAGAAAGGGTTTTGCCGACTTGTAGCCGAACCCGGGGCACATTGAATTATGCCAGAAAAAACAATTTTCATTGGGCTTCCATGGGCTTTCCAGAAGAATCTTTGAAAAACCAGCTCAGATCTCTGGAAACTGAGATAACAATCTACCAGTTTTTTTTCTATAGATAGATAACCCAAAGTATTCCCTTCAAAATAGAAGAAGATAGATAGATTGCTATCACAGTTTCCAAAGATCCCTCTAGAGAGAGCTATCTCGAGTTATATTCACACCTGCGAGAAAAATCAGCAAATTTGATTTTAGTTTATCCAAATTTTGAAACTAGAACAGTAACAAGGAAAATCGAGCACGTCATAAAGTTTATTCGGTTATAACTAATCTTCGATAATTTTGGTTTAACCGAACCGATGCACGCCTAGTCAAGACATCTCTATGAAGAGAAACGGAAAGATAAGTGTTTTTAGAAAAGTGTTCTGTCTGCGCACAGACAGATGATTTCTGATCTGTTGCTTGTTTATTTAATTATGTTAGATTCGTTGAAATCAAATAAATGAATTAATCAAAGAACTTGGTCATATATTATCAGATTTCCCTCAATCCAAAAATATTATAAACTGAAGGCCCTTCTATGATGTTGGTATGTAGAGATCTTTTCCCTTCTGATGATAAAAAATATATGAAATGTTCGATCTTACAGTGCTATCATACAGAATACTCAATACACGATGTTTAAATCAATATATTTAATAAGATCTGGCTGCATTCAGCTAGATTTAGTATCTCCTAATCGTTTGTATCGTCGAAACATAAAGGAGATTATTTACATTAATAAAAATACATAAGAGAATTGAAAGGGCGCTTCTTCTGAAAAAATAATTAGGCCGCTAGCTAGCTCAGAAACTGAAAGAGATAACTGCAAATTAAAACAGCGCCATTATTTCTGGGTTACCCGTGCCGATTTAATAACAGCATTTTTGCTGTTGTTTATCTGTCGTGTTTGAAAGCGTAACGAGAAGCCTGAAGGTGAGGGATTAAAATCCCTTGGAAGACTATTTCGCATAGCCACCTAGTTTTTTCTGTGAAGAGATATAGCAGACTTGCGTATTCCACTAAAACTGTTAGAAGTTGCGCTTCAAAAGAGTAGCTGAGTATTTCAAGATTTTACTTCGTTGGAGAGCAAAGTAAATTTTTTCCAAGTCAGGGACGAAAAAGTCGAACATTTGTCCGTAATTCTCAATTTCATTCACCAGAATTCAACTTGCAATATAAATATCATACTCAGAATCATCGTGAAAAACCGAGGCGAACGATGCCTATTTCTATCCCCTCCGACCATTTTGATTTTGTTCCAATTTTCACGTCGAAAAATGGCTATAATTTTCACCAAAAACTGAAAATCAACAAAAAACATCGATATTTTCGACTAACGACGCCCGAAAGCTAATGACAAGTTCGTGATCGTCATGAAAAATTAGTCTAGGGACGAATTTTCTGTGAGTCCGTCCGCCAATCAGTCAATCAATTAATGAAACATACAGTCACCTATACAGATACTCATCTTATATATCACTAACTCGAGGTGACTTTTCATTCATACTACATTTTTTATCGAAAACGAGAAGTCGCAGCGATGTGAACTTTCCTGTTCTATGGAAACGTCCCAAATTCGAAAATATTATTATGTTTTTTAAACTTCCTATATCCGCAAAAATATATCTTGCACATGTCCATTCGATTGACCATAACTTCCCCCTCATGAAAGGTCATGGCCCTGATAAAGTGGAATTTCTGACCTTTTTTTGCCCATCGAACATTTTTTCGAAAAGATCGCGCTGGAATATGGCTGTTCTGCAAACGTTTCGCTCCAAAGCGTCTTCTAATACAGGGTGGTCTACTATTCTCAGATGGGGTTTAGTCGATAAACTCTGACGAACCGATCTCAATGTAACTATTCGACCGGCAAAGACTTCTCCACCCTTTTAACTGTTAAAATTCATCGGTGGGATCTTAAAATGTAGGATAACTTGGCTTTACTACTTAACAGAGCAGGAATTTTATTTTTGATCTAGCTTTTGTGAAAAACGAAGCTTTGCGAACGTTAGCCAAAACGTTTTTCAAATTTTCGCATTGAAGCATTGAGAAAACTACGGAAGTTTGAAATTTGATAAATCTGGCTTTATTAAGCCGTAACGCCCAGTTAAATGAGAATAAACGAAAAATAAATGGAAGAGTTTGTTCTTTTATAAAAAAGCGTCTTAAACTCGAATTGGTATAATGGGTCGTATTATCAGTTAGTTCAACGTCGTTTATTTATCAGTGAGACCGTGATTAGAGGATCTGAGCGTTATAACATTAGTCAAGCAAAATCGAATAGCAATAATCATCATTACTATGTGATAGTCCATTTCGGTTATGATCACACGATCGATCTTCTTCATCACATGTCTGATTCTTGTATATTGATCGGCTTCTTTTCCACTTTGAAATTGCTCTTGTCGTACATACTCATTCCTTTTTTGTGAGCGTCATAATATCCAATTGCGTCTGTTGCTGTACCATTCAACAGGTCTCGACAATCTTCGAGCTCGGTAATAACCAGATTTAATCGTTTAATCAAATCCTCCTTTGTGGGCCATTCTTTATCGTACATCATCAACGCTTTCAACTGTTCTCGTGCACGCCACGCTTTGTGTAATGTGAATTCGTAGTCACAAGTGGACTCGTGCATGAATGTCTGATAACGAGTTTTTTCGGTGACAAATGGGTTTCGTGACATGTACGAATTAACGACGGTAATCCGGGGTTCGGTGCTACTTAGAACTGGTTTCACACGATGTGCAATTTCACAGCCTTGCATGAATATTACCGAACCGGCCCCACCAAAATCAATATTTTGCACGTATTCATCAGGGATATCGCCGTTATATTCAGCGACTAGTTTCAATGCCTCTTGCTTTTCTCGTTCGATCAGCTGGAGTTCGCCACCAATCGTGTTTGTCATATCGCACGTGAGAATTATGATCACATATGGGACACTATCGACGTGCCACTGATCGACGTTTTTTGTTGGATCAGCAAGACCAATATTTGTGTGACTATAACTGGATTTCAACGTTGTTGCCATTAGCGGTTCATTGCTTCCGCTCAGTTTCGTCAGAAACTCAAGAACAACTGGACAGCGGTTGAAATCTCTTATCCATTTTGATCGATATCCAATGTGACGAATTCGATTCGGTAGTCTCTGATCGCTTTCACAGTTGACAAACTCTCGTTTGATTATCGATTTCAATACTTTGTAGCCTTCGTCACTGAGAAGGCGAAATGGTGCAGTGTAGGCCAGTTGACTCTTATAAATGCCCTGCTCAAAATTAATTGTTGGGGTCTGTTTGACATGTTGAAAATTGTTATTTAACAAGACGACAAATTCTGGCTCAACAATATTCAAATGGAGTGAAGCATTGTACTTCGGCTCATCTTCCCAGTACGGATATTTGTCATTTTTCAAATCGATCGTTTCAAATACATCACCGATAAAATATTGCCATTGTTCTGGCTGAACATTTTCTGTATTATACTGAATATGTCGCTGTTGATCTGAGTTCGCTGTCTGCTTCGACATGGTTTCTACTTTTATTATACTAAAACACAAAACATGTTTCTGTTTTACATGTAATATCTTTCGTATCGTTTTCCATTATCAAACAAAACACAGTGATAAAGCCGAAGTAAACTGAATTCTTTTTCTGCGTAATTCAGATGCACCTGTATGACAAAGAACGTGTTTTTTCAAGGTAGATTTGATCTTCTATTTTCTAATTTTGGTGGTATGAAACGTTGGTCTCTCAAACGCTCTACTCTTCACGAATAAGAACAAGAGAAAGTAATGCAACAGGATTTTGTACGCTCTCGACGACGGTATTCGAAAAGACATTAATTCTTTTGGAAACTCATGCATTTATTTTTCGTTTATTCTCATTTAACTGGGTGTTACGGCTTAGTAGAGCCGGATTTATAAAATTTCAAACTTCTGCAGTTTTCTCACTGCTTTAATGCGAAAATTTGAAAAACGTTTTGGCTACCTAATCACCACCATCACCATCACCGGTACTAATTACTATACTAATTAGTTGCATGAAGCTAAAAATGATGAACCAATAGACCCGCAGCGTATCCACAGGATTTTAAGGAGGAGACTTTCTTGTGGAGAGTAGAGTAAGATTTTCCTTCAAAACGATTAAAACGGAGTCAATACTAATGCTGTATCCAGCGATTGCTCAAGTTGAGGGATGGCAGAGTTCCTACAATTCTACTCTTATACAGCAGAATTGAACAATGCTGTCTGCGTGCTTCTAAACATTCAATTCTATTACGCTCCAAACGGAGTCAATAACTAATGCTGTATCCAGCGATTGCTCAAGTTATGTAATAGCTGTTTGCACTGATGAAACGTGACAGTACAATAGATGGTCACCTTTTTTCCTTTTTTTTTTCTTTATGTGCTCCGTGATTTCCCGAGTTACATGATGTCGGTTCATATGGCTAGAATGTGAGCGTACACCCATGTCAAATTTATTGTAAAATTTCTCCAGAAATGCGCTTTTTTTGACACTTTTTAGGCCATACTAACATAACGCTAGAAAACGCATGCTTCTTATATACGTTTTCTTGCGGGGTATTTTTTCCTGCAAAAAAACACGTCATACTGCGTGTGTTTTTTTCCTGCAAAAAAAAAACACGTCATATTGCGTGTGTTTTTACAATAGAATTTTCGCAAAAACGTTTTGCTTTAACGACGCGAAGGGAACTGATGAGTCATCATAAATAGTGTATAATTTGAAAAACCGAAATATGTGCAACCTTACATTTACACACATGGGCCTTTTCCATTGAAAGTTTACTTAGAGATTTTTCTAACTTCTCTCAGCTGAGAGGAGACTGCGGGCACCAGATTGCAATTAACTGCCGCAGACCTGAGGTGAAAATCATGAGGCTTTCCTGTGAGTGTTTTGTTTTTGCACAAAAATGTCTCGAAATTTCGACGTGGGTTATATATCCATTTCATTGGTCAGTAGAACTGAGAATTCTCTCGTTTTTTTCAGTTTTTATCGTTTCTCTCTTTGTTTGTTTCGACCGTTTTAGCCATTATCTCGATTTTTCTTTGCACTTTAAATATATGATCTGTATGTCGACAAACATTATGTATTTTTGTAAAGAATTTTTTTATTTTCTTGTCTTTCGTCCCCTTTTTAGGCAAAATCTGCGCCGCGTGACGTAGAGAACTATGAAAGCTAGAAAAGTTCTGGAAAAGGTAGGATATTCTCCTGACATTCGAGATTGATCAATGCACATTTTTCTCTCAAGTAACGGTCCAGATTCAGCACCATAAGCTATACAAGTAGAAGAAAAACGTGTTTTGGACTTAGATAATTATTGTTATCTTTGTCGGCGCTATTCAGTCAGACCACGAAAAATAATTCCTATCAGTAGGCTGTGATTTGCTTTTTGACTTACTCTTTGAACTGCTTATAATATAAAACACCAATTAAGGAAATTTGAAAAACATAGAAAGAATCTGCTTAGAGTAGTAGGTTCAGTCAGAGATGTGTCTGTCGACATCGTGACTTGTGCGCAACACAATTCTAATCCACTTCCTCTTTGCTAATCAGGTGCCTTATTTACTGTCAGCATCATCATCATTTTAATAAAAATTATTCAATCAACTTTGACGTTCAATGAAGAGTGACTTCAGGGGTGATGCAGGTATGATTTTACCCTCCTAACCCTCTGGACTACCACTAGCAACCTTCTCTGGAACCTCGGACAAGCAGTTCTATTCTTGTTCTTACAGTTTTAGGAGAAGGAGGACTTAACTACTAACGTTTGATAATAGACATTGGGATCAGATCAACGGAGTAGCAATCGGGAGCCCATCAGCTCCAATCTTAGTGCATTTGTTTATGAGTGATCTTGAAGATAAAACCCGAAATTATCGAGGTAAGACACCATAAATGTACTACTGATGCGTGAATGACATTTTTGTCTTACTACATGGCGCACAGAAAGATGCAGCTGAACTTAAGCTTTTATGAATAAATTGAATCCTAAAATCTACTTCAGCATTGAGATGCAGAATAATAATAAACTACTGTTTTTAAAAGAGTAATGGTGGAGAGAAAGGATAACGAGGTAATCACATATGTTTATCACAAACTGACAGATATAGGCTTACACTTAAAATGGACAAGTAATCAGTCGCATAATCACAAGATAAACTTAATAAAGTGTTTATGTATACGTGCACAACGTATTTTCTCATCAGCTGAATTGTTCGAACAACAGTTTGATTATTTGATGTCTAGTTTGATTAAAACTAGACAATTCTACACATAAACCAGCTCTACCACACAATGTCAAGAAGTCTTTCATTCCGTTTCGTTATTATAGTTCATGCTCACTGATACTTGCTCATCATATGAAGCCATTGATTAAACATTCACTGAAAACAATTATCATTGGCTGTGAATCTAGTTTTCAATAAGCCAAGATATTCAGTTGAACATTTAGGGAAGGTCGAGACAATGAGAAAATGGCGTATGACTACGATTGTTGCGGTTGTAACAGGATATACATAGGACAAACAGTCGTGGAATAGAAATAAGGAAGGAAGACCACAATAATACTTTTTATGGAAATGGTTTTTCAGGGATAGCCATTCATGGACTTGGGACAGGGCATACTGGAATTTAAAGATCTTAGCTATCGAATCACACACAATCAAAAAGAACAATAAAATAGAGTATGCTAATGGATTTTTTCAAAGGAAATAAAGAGAAAAAATATGTACTCTCAAAAGACGTATGTACTGAATATTTTTTAGTATGCGTTAGACAGTGTCATAGTAAAAGAACGATCTGCTCTGTTCTATACAAGCGCTGTTCTTCTTTTTATATATATATATATATATATCCTTCTACTGTCACACATATATCATTTGGACTGCTGATATTCTGACGATGAGTGGAGAACGAAACGTCTCAATATAGCTGCTTACTTTAAAAATGATAAAAAAGGTGGAGTTAATCTTTTTATTCCTAATTAAATTATTCACCTTAAAAACACATTTCTCAAAGAGAAAAGAGCTCAGTCGTGCGTAACACGTAATGAACATGACAGCAGTTGTTTCTAGTATATTTTGAACGAAGAAACGTTTATTCTATTTCCTTATGCGTCTTTGTCTAAAATTGGCGTTATTACGTTTCTTACGTAAGAAGCTCATTATTACGTTTAGTCGAAAGCATTATTACGTTTAGTCGAAAGCAGCTATATCACATATTTGCCTTATTCACGATACTTTCGTCTATACTCACTCATAAATCAGTGATAATACAGTTTAGTTTGTCTTTTCCGAATGAGAACAAACGGAACTACATAATGGGAATAGTCAATTCTTCAGACATAGTAATGGAATGAAAATGTAAAATGTGTGTGTGTGTTTTGGTCGCATAACTAACGATTGACATTTTCCGTAATATACATCAGTTATGAAATATTGACGACAAAAAAGAACAAGCTTATTTGAACTGTTTCATATTTTTATCTTCATCGAATTTAAAGAATATAATTTAGCTACGATGATTTTTCTGTGGTCAAAACTAACCATATTCTCAATCCTAAAAAGGTGAGTTATAAGAATTGTTGGTGTGCTTGTTCGGGTTTCCATTAACCAGAATTTATCAATAAAGTCAAGCTACTTCAAATAGGGCTAATTATGATGCTGAATAAAGAAATCAATTAATTTCATCACCAAACATATCTAATCATTAATATTACAGTAAGACAGATTTTTCCACCCATCATTCTCAATCAATCAGATTTTTTTATTCAATTACTTTTTCTTAGATAGGATTTTGTTCGTTGAAAATTTTAAAGTTGATCTTCGGCTTTCGGAATCGAGTCTAGCAAGATTAAGCGGACCGAGGCGTTAATTGTGTTATTCAATTGAATTTTCATACGTAGATTAGTGACGTAGTCACGTGAGGACTCAGGTTAGAGTCCTACGGCAACGACTTTAATCCGTTCCCATAAGATTTTCTGGAAATTCTCGTTGAATCCTCGTAGAAAATAGAACGAAAACTGGACGGAGAAAATCGCTTCTGCAGAATTCTAATGCGAATATCAGCAGATGAATTACAATAACAATCACAAATGAAAACAGAATTTGAAAGATGGATTGAATATCAAACGAAAGCTTTCGGCATAATCTCCGTGGGTTCAAAATGTGCATCGCACTCGAGCCACCAGAATGATATAACAATTAGTTTATTCATAGTATTCGACAAATTGTACGCGTAGTTGGGATTCGTCCTGTTCTCACTTTCCTACGCCTAAAATCGTCAGTGTCTGTAAAAATGTGCCTATGTGAGGTATCTGTGGCGAGAGGGGTCTCCATAAGGTCTGTAATGGGACCTCTAAATTATTTGATTGCTTGATATTAGTTTGTCTTTCCAACATATACGTATAGCAACTATTGGATTTCCTATATCAGAAGTATAAGCCTTTCGAAGTACAGTGACGAAAACCAGTTTTGCAAAAACTTGTAGAAATGAAAATCTTTGAGTTGATTTAGCATTCGTATTCTCCCCTCACTCCAAAAATCGACTTGCATCATACTAGAAGATATTAATAGAGGAATAATTCTTTAAATCTGCTAAGTAATTTAAAGAATTACTTGTTTGGCAGGAACATATTTCGTTCATTATTGCCATTTATAGATATGTCTTTTAATCGCGTGCCAATTCTTTTACGCAAAGAATTCGAAAATTTTACGTACTATGTTATATGGTTTATCTACATACAAATGAGATTTATTCAGGTACATCCAGATATTGAACAGGCTCGTGGCTACATGGAACGGTATCGCAAGGACGGCTTTAGTCCCAATGAACTTAAAGTCTATTGAAATGAAGAACAGCTTGAAATTCTTTGTCCAAGAGAAAATGAAGTAGCATCAACCGTGCCGCCACACGATCCTTCGGATGCTGATGTTGTTGAAGAACTTCGTAAATTTTCTGTTTCGAAACGGAATCATTCTGGAACGATCACCTAGGAAACATTCACAAATACTATCATTCTCAACCTAGATTACTCTGCTTTTATCACGATTCCAAGTAGAAAATAAATTAATTGTTCCGTGTAAAAGTAACATATCTAGATTGAAAAGACAAAATTTTGCTCAACAACGAAGATATTAGAGTCTGTGATGATGGAAATATGTTGGCTGTATATCGGATTTCCTACAAGTCCCAGGACTGGCGCCCTGGACTATTGGTAGCCTTAAAGACGGATGAAATATGAGTAATCGACCATGTTGAGTCTCGTGGCAATATTTTGTTTTTCGAAAAAATTTTAAAAATCTACAGAAAAGCCAGTTTTATGAAAATTAGAGTTTTTCAGGCTGTTTTCGTCTAATATTAAAAAATTCACTGTTCTCTCAAAAAACATCAGAACAAGCTCAAAATCTCAGGATATGATTAATATTGTTCGCTAAACGTAGGTATAAGATCGAAAAAATCGAAAAACATATTTTATTAATAGATTTCCAGAAATCCTTTTGGAAAACTTTAGGGTTTTGTAAAATTTCGTTCAAGATCTCCTATAAATAAGATATAACATAGCTTAAATACTCTACATTCTGAAGTTTTGAACTCGTTGTGATGTTTTTTGAGTGAAAATTAGTGAATTTTTTAATATTAGGTGAAAGCAGCCTGAAAACGCAAATTTACGTAAAACTCGCTTTTCGGCAGATATTTAGAACTTTTTCTAAAAACAAATATTGCCACGAGGCTTAGCACGATCGAATGCCTATAGTCCATCCGTTTTCAAGGCTACCAATAGTCATCGAGTGCCAGTCCTAGAACTCCTAAGGCCATAGTTTTTTGGAAAATCTCCAACACAATGCAGACTCACTGGCACTAATTGGCGCTAAGGTCAATATAGTAATAACTATGGTAGAACACACATAGAGGAATATTTGGCAGAAGGTTGAGCTCGAATGGACTTTAGCTGTTTGTAACGTTTACAAAATGCGAAATGGTGAATTTCCCGAAAAATTTTTAGCAGAGAAAATTTAAAAAAGTTTTCTGGAAAAATCAATGTTATATATGGTTTGATGCAGCTCGACGAGCTAATTCTGAATATCATGTTGGTTTTGCGCTTAAATGTTATATTAGTGATGAAAAAAGGCATTTAGTGTCAAAAACCATTCTCCAGCACAATCTAGAATCACTGACACTAATTGGCGCTATGGCCAATGGTAGAGCACAGATAAAGGAATATTCGACGAAAGGTTGAGCTGGATTTGACTTTAGCTGGTTGTAGCGTACAGAATGATGCATTTTTGATAGTCAGTTTTAGCCTAGTAGATTTTTTTTTGCTGTAGCAATTCGAGGTCAGTCGAATGATCTTTTCGTTAAAATAGAGTTCATAGATAAATAATTCTTTTCAGATAATTTTTCAAATTGAACTATTCCAGTAAGTTGTCAAAAAATTAACTTTATTTGAGGATAACGATTTTTGAACAAATTTGTTAGTATGTGTTTTTCCAACCTTCAACTTAATTTCTGAAAATGCTATTTCAGGACAAGATAGATCAAAGATAGAAGTAATTATTCCAATGTTTAAACTTTGGAAAATAACACTTTTATTTTATGTCCGCCTGGTTGCCCGCTGGGTGGTTGTAGCGAATTCAGCGATTATGTTTCGGCAAGTTTCACTTCTATGCAGATGCATTAGGAAAAACATTTAAATTAGTTAATTTTAGATTTCTCCTAATGTTCATCAGTTCTTTCAATTAACAACTTTTCAACACAGAAATAATTTGTCGTTTATTTCTGTAAGTTCAAAATCCGGATCATACCTTTGAGAGAGCAAGTTCAACTTTTTTAATTGTAAATCTCAAATGTTTAACACCCTGTACTCGAGCGCGGTGCAGACAGACGGGGTGGTGTGGAAGTGCTTCTTCCTGCCTTTCGAATTTTCCTCGATTTCGAGGACCAACTTCAGTCATCTTCAATTTCGGGAAAACCTTTGTCTCATCTTTCTTCGATTTTGAAGATTTTTCCGTTTCAACAGTCTCCATCCAAGCGTCAAAAAAATCTAGTATCGCTCGATTCATCTAGATTACTAGATCCTTGCAACTACTGTGCAGCGACAGTGGAAATCTAGTTATTGGGCGATTGCTAGATTTTTTCTAGTTGCAACTATCGATTTATCGCCTAATAATAGATCCATTTAACTATTGCTAGATGTACACGCAGACGCATCTAGTTAAAAGTCTCTTTTCCGACTAGTATCTAGATGGCAACTAGTCGTGTATCGCCCAGTTATAGACGAAATGTATCTAGATTTTTCCCATAGGTGATGTTTGCTTGAGCACTCTCACAGATTTCGGCAAACTTTGCCTAGCTATGATTTTTTGTAACACCCCATCTCGCTTTAACCTCTTCATACTGCCCCTTAGTGTACCATACGAAATTGCTCGACTTCTGAAAACATAGAATCGTGTAATCAGCCAATTGACCACAATGATAATTGAAATAATTACTTCAAGAGAAACATTTATTCTAAAGTGTGAAAAGATGAGCCATGGAAACCTGAACTGCTAATATGTTCCAGGTTTCTTTTTAATTAACCGGTGAATACATTTCGAAATGAATAGTAGTATAATAAACACCGAATGCATAACTATGTATTACGAGACGTTTCGTACAATATCTTAGTACATCCTGAGGATACATGACTGATAGATACATGACTGAGGATGTACTAAGATATTGTACGAAACGTCTCGTAATACATAGTTATGCATTCGGTGTTTATTATACTACTATTCATTGCTAATATGTTTGTCCGGGCTTCCGTATTGGCCAGAACTAATCACACAATCAAAAATTGACCTACTTGCAATGAAGAAACTTTTTCTCCTCGGTAAAAATCGAAATAAATTGATTTTCCGATTAATTAGACGACTTCATTGATTATTACGGACAGTCAGTTTTTTTCACAGTATATTTTATATAGACGTTTTTTAGTCAATTATTGGCTCTCAAGATTGAATTTTAGCGAGGCATAATTTTAAGTGCTGAACTTGTTAAAATATGTAATGATTGATCGATGCAATTGATGATTAAAGTAAAAACATGTTGTTTCTATTACAGTGGAGAAAAGATACTAAAGCTAAATTTCGTGCATTTATGGCTGCAGCTGTTGCAAATACAAATGGCGATGGTTCGAATACATATCTTTTACTTGGACCCATTGGTACGGGTGCCTTTAGAAATGATGCATCGGGAATTGGATATGCCTTCCGTAAAGCACTCCAATCACCAATGATGGGTTAGACAGGATCAATTCGTAAGGCTTTCGGCAATATTTGGTTTGTTTCTACTGAGGACTGGAAGAACGAGTTGTTCCAAGCAATTCTATCTGATCTAGATTAATCTGATATCTGAAACTCTTTGATCTATTTTTTTCTGAAAATTTTTTGTCTTCTATTAAAACATGACAAATAAAACCAAGAAAGCAACCGTAGAATATATCGACAGTTTACTACTAAAAACAAATCACAATCACTCCTTTGTATTGGTTTTCAAATATATGTTCACAAGCAACAATCAACGGAAATCATGCAAAATAGAAACAAAAGAAAGTCTTACAAATCGATTAGCGAAATCAAATTTATGTCAGCCTACATTTCTGCTTAGGGTATTCAACAATGCGAATTTTCCTTGAGAGCGTTGATCGAATTGCTAATTTCGTAGAACGCCTAGTGTGGCGGATTTTAAGCGTTACGTTTGCTCGATTTGTGTTTATGCGTAACCGCTTGACTGATCTCTAATCTGATCCTTCTCTTTATGTCTCTTTCTATTCTTGTTTATGACCGACTCCTCTCAAAGCTGGGCAGCTCCGACTACAATAGATGCTCCTCTCTTAATGCTATATGATTGACTTTTCAAATAACAAAAAAGGAACAAAATGATGTCATAGATCCAATCGAATGAATGGAAATGAAAAACGAAATGCATTTAATATCGAAGCTGACGATTGCACTTCAGAAATGTCAATTTTTCTAGTGTTACTTTTTTGAGACAGTCGCTGTCTAACAGCATCGCTGAACTGCTGCGCGAAAATATGCGTTCCACAAGTGCTAATACTGCAGATACACATAAAAATCGACGAGCAAGTGATCTCGCATAATTATCGATACGTTTGGGTGCGTTTTTTCTTGATAAATGCTTTGTCACCAATGTAAGACGATAGAGAATCTTTCATTTCAGACTATTAGTAATGTAATTCATACAATCGCTTCAATATACTCTAAAATGATTTTCATCCAATTATGAAGAATCAACTAAAGGCTAAGAAGTCCAATGAAGTGCCGCCACATTTCTCAGAAGTTGGCGCCTGAATGAAAGAAGTTTCAAGTTGGATACTACTTGCTGGCCTCGGATTCATCCTCCTTTTCCTCTTTTTTGTCCTCATTTCAAGTCGGTTTTCCTCTTTTTCTAAGAATTTTAGAGAAAAGCAGATTAATACAAGTTACCCCGAAAGAACATACTTGAAAAGTAGAAGAACAAAATTTCTACGCTTATAGCAGGCACTTAGTTTTGCGCGAACAACACTCACATAAACTGTAAAGACAGTAATAAGAAGTGCCTAGGAGAGATTAATCGTATGAAAACGACCGAATACAAAACACGGAAACGACAACACAAGAACGATATTCATAAAGATAAACTAACATCACTCATTGCTCAACACTGCAATACCAACAATCATACAATGGACTTTAATAACGTTGAGATCTTAGCATTAGAATCAATCTGGAAGAGGCGAGTTATGAAAGATAATTTGTTAACAAATCAATCTTATGGAACAGCAATTAATGAAGTAAAATACAAATTCAAAGTATTTTAGCACTCTAAGAGTGCAGTTTTATCGACCGGAAAACCGAGTTCTAGGAATAAAAGAAACTTCTTTTGTGTTATTCTTTCGTTTACATTATTCGATGTATATATACATATACTAAATTTTCTTTTTGACACTTTATAAAACGTTTATTGTCTGATGATGGTAGGAGCGACCTACCAAAATATCACAATAGATTATTCTATGATTTATAATCATGTTCGTGGCAGTTTTGCACTTTCTCTATAAACTCTTAACAGTGGTAGCAGGTGTCGATGAGACTAAAAAACCCTCAAAAGGGTTTATGTCTAAAAATAGTCACTTACCACAGGATGGATACAAAAGTCTTCAACTCGAAATTCTTAATTCGATGCTTACGGTTACGGGTCAAAATTCTGTAAAACGGCCATAATGAAGTGCCGAAGTGACACTCTAAGAGTGTGAGTCAGTTTTAGAGCGAATGTGGTATTAATTTATATTGTGTGCTTTTCTGACTGTTTTTCTTTTCTCTGCGATACGAACTTTGGACCTTGTTGTAAGAAGAATTAGATTTTGGTTAAAAACCAACAGTCGAATATACCTACTATCGGCACCAAAATTCAATGCACTCAATTGTTCTTCGAATAACTTCAGAACGATGAAAGATAGGGACCTGCGATTTTCAACGATCGAAAGAAGACAGTTTAACCTATGTCTTTATAAGCAAAACCCTTTTCCGAAACTATTCAGAAGGAGATCTTTGGAAAAGCACTTCGGATCTCGGGAAACTGAGATAGTAATCTATTAGTTTTTTTCCATAGATGGATAGTCCAAAGTGTCCTCTTCAAAATGCGAACTAAGCAAACTCTTGAGTTTTCCCGGTTCAGGCGTGGCATCGGATTGGCTGAGAGTCCCAGGTACTTCTTTAGGTGTGGTAATTCCGAAAATAATGGAAACGTAGATAATCAACCACGATGACTTTCGTGGCAATAATTGTTTTTCAGAAAACCTCCAACAACCTAATGAAAACCTATATTAGGTGGAATAACTCATTTTTGCCTATTTTCGAGTATATATATAATTAAAAAGTTAAAAAATTACCTGCTCAATACTATGCAGTTCAATAAAAGCTTTAAAAATCAACACAAAATATCTTCTTTTTTTAAACGCTTTTCTAGAAATCTTTCGAAGTACAAGAATGTTTTTTACTATTCTGAAGTAAAAAATCATCTTGAACAAGCAAAATAGAGTACATCTTGATATTCTGACATAATTTAGATTGATTTGACTGGATTATGAATTTTCTAATTATACTCGAAAATAGGCAGAAATAGCTCCTAATAGAAACCGATATCCGTACCGTACGGTCCTGCATAACCGTTTCGTAGAATACGTTTCAACGTTTTTTCTCTGGTACAAAACCTAAATTATGCGCAAATATCGCTCTATCCGGGACATCGAACCAGATTTCTCGATTTCAATTACGAATTTCTTCAAAATCTTATGCTGTTCGTTTTGTAAGCTACGGATTTTTTTTAGAGAGTACACGACCTTTCTTTGCAACGTTATAGAACTTATAAAGAAAGCCTAAATGTCCATTGTCAGCTCAAAGCTAGAGAAATAAGAAGAAATTAATTTAGGGCTTTTCTTATAAATTCGATAACTTTGCAAAGAAAGATCGTGTAGAGCTGGGAGATGTCTCATTTTAACCCTTTGGTGCCGAGACACGCATATATGCGTGTTGAAGTTTCTGATCATTGCTTCTATATAACAATAAAATTTGTTTCAGACATTTTTTGAAAGAAAAAATTTTCATTTTTTCAAAAAAGAACCCGGCGTCAAAGGGTTAATCAGAAATTTGCGGGCTACAATCCTGCTGGAGGTTTTGGTTGGTTTAGAGGTTATTTCCCCCTTGAGTCTTTACCTCAATAACTTGAAACCAGATCAACGTTGCGACAATGAAAAAAAGAAATTAAGCAAGTTAACACATTTTGTTAAAAGAAAGTAAGTTTGGTTAAACTAGTTCATACTATGGAAAGATTCAAAACGTCCCCTCCCTCAAACGAAAAGCATTTTATCATCGAAGTTTCTCCCATTGTTAGCTCTTTCGAGCTTTCGTAAAGGAAACAATGCCGTCAATTTCTCCTGCTGTTTCCATCTCTCGAGATAATTTTACACATATTTCTACAATTAAATCCTTCCACTCTTTTTCATTCATTTTTCAATCAAAATCAACGACCAAACAATATTCTGTCTTTGCTATGCAAAAATTGAATTATCGTTTCCTACAAGTATTATGTTCAATTTTTATTGTCAAAATATTCTTGTTCATATGATTAATCCTCAACGACAAATTGTTTTGTTAAGTTTGACAAGGAAACATAATCATTTTAAACAATTACATTCGTTATCTAATCCTGAAAAATTTACATATGTTAAAGAATCAGAGAGAAAGAATCAAAGAATGACTGAAGATTCTTTGACTTAGGAGTTGAACATGGTTTTTGAGAGACTGCAATCGCAGAGACATGTTCTACAGTAGTTTTGTCTTGAAACAGTCACGATATGACTGTTGTTTCGAAGCGGATGACGGAAAATTATTAGAAGCCATGTTATTTTACAATAAATCTGAAAATTATTTTAAAGGTAGCGATGAAAAACATTTTATCATTGTTTTATCCATAGTAGATTTGTTTAAAATTATTTTATCGATTATTTGTGTTTTTTTTTGTGCTTTCGCTCCTTTTTTTCGGCGAGCGATGAAGAATTGATCTGTTTTTGTTTATTCATCCGTAGCATGTATTTGCTCAGACGAAGGTATTTTGCATGGTTTTTTGTTGTTTAGGTAATAGTCAGAAAATGTCTTATGTAAACTAACTGTAGAGTAAAATAAAGCATTTTATCACCGAAGATTCTTCCATTGTTAGCTAGGCATGCACCAGTTACAGTTAACTGTAAAACTGTAACTGTCATAACTGTTATAACTGTAAAACTGTAACAACTGTTATAACTGTAAAACTGTAACTGTCATAACTGCAACTGAGAAAAGGGTAAAACTGTCGGAAAGAGTTTTTAGCATTTTGGTCTCGATTCGTAATATATTTGTACAAAACTATTCGTGACGTATCAGATAAGATGTCTTCCATCTTTTCACTTGGCGAATGTCTGCGTATGCCGTCCACTCT